AGTGATGTCTGTGAGAAAGATATATTCACTCGACAAGCTCGCGCATCTGCGCCGCCGCACACTCAATCCACTCAGCGTGCTTTGCTCATCAGCTGCCGCAACTCAGCTTTACAAGCATTAATACTGAATGTTTTATATTCATTGCATTAGGGCTGTCGCGGGGAGGACAGACGCAAGTAATCGCACGCGCTCAGTCGATCTGTCTCTCATTCACTGTCTGTTTAGGCTTGTTAAGTGCAAATCTACGGAGCCTCTGTACAAATCAGCATGGTACACATTATGTTATCATTACTAACTTGTTTAATATTCAGTCCACATGCATGAAGTGTAAAACGAGAAGGGCATAACCTTATGAAAAAAGAAAACGCGCAAAAATCGCGGTTGCTGCGGTTCTTGCATTCCTCTGCGGTTTGCGCGGTATTGCGATATTGCGGTTATCGCGTCAGCCCTACATTGCATACATATACTTAGCAGAATGGGGTTATTAGAGATTAAAGATATCTACGGTCTGTTGTCGGTATTTCTTTGTCTGAATATGGCACTTATCACATGCTGTGTGGTATCGGCGTTTGGTATCGGGGCATTTTAACGAGTACGAGTACAGGAGCTCAGTATCGGGCCCGATACCAGTATCGGTATCGGTGCATCCCTGCTTAAAATTAATAAGTTAGTAAAATAATATTTTTTGGCCATTTTTGATACCCCTTTCTTGAATCAGGCATGTATTTTTTACTGTACAAATAAATGCAGCCTTGCTGAGCAGAAAACTTCTTTTAAAACATTAGAAAATATTACAGATCCCTGAACACTGTGTGAATGCAAAAATAAATGTATTAATAGGGCTGTTGTAATTGTTATTATTATCATTATTATTGTCTTTTTAATTTAATTTTACAGAACAACAGTAAAAATGACAATAACAACATTTATTAATGTTGATGGAGTTCTTGCTTTTACTCAGCTTTTATTTTGGCAGAAACCCTCAGGAAGACCTCAGTGCTTTTTGTTGACAACAGCAGATTTATAAATGATTC